AGGGCTGTCGGAGGCTGGATAAGGGATGTGTGGGTGGAGAAGGGCCCAGCAGAGAAGGGAAGCGGCTGGTGCCTCGCTGTGGGCTTCTCCCTGTGGTGTGCTCATCCTTAAACCTCCGGATGGCACGTCTCCATCGCTGTCGTCTGTTGAGTGATGCCACTGGATTGGTCTTCCTCCTGCTGTCATGTTGATATGCCAGGATAGATGTCCTTGTGCTGTGATGGTGAAACACAGCATTTTGCAGAAGGGCAGTGTTGCTGAGCAGAGCTCAGTAAATGGTTTCCCCCTTCATTTACATCCCAGAGCTGCGTAGCTCTTGCTCTGCAAAAGGCAGCCTCTTGCCTTACTTCTGCCCTGACATCCCATCTGGTTAGCCAGCCGTGCTGCTGTCCTGATGAGACAGATCCATTCTTCAGCTATAGATACCTCAACTGTTGTTGTTCCTGACTGTTCCAGTTTTTTATTATTATTCCTCCAAGGGGGATTACAATTAGTCAGGTATTGAGTGGATCCCGTGCCAATAAAGGAGATGTATTTATGTACAGAATAAATGCTGCTTTGCCCAAGTAATAAATCAGTGCAACAGTCAGTGTGTGAGTAAGGGTGTGGGTGAGTGATTAATGCCAGGAGCTTGGGGAGCCATTAGGATCATGAGTGCTAACCTTAGGTGACTGATTGACATTCACTAATCATAAACAGTTCAATTTCTGTACAATTTATTTGAGCTGATTGGGGGGGAAAATGGTGTAAAGCAGTCATTTTTCTTTGTGTAGACTTTTCATAAGGAAAATCGAAGAACCATGATGTAGATCGTGTAGAGCTCTATAGGAAACGGTCTTGTTAGTTACTCTGCTTGGGAAATTTCCAAAAACATTTGTTGCATGTGAAGTTATTGGAAAGGTCAGTCTCCATCCTGCATAAGCCCCATCCACGTTAAGTGTTCAGTACTTTATTAGTGTTACTCTGAGTATTTTTATAGTGCTCTGTGGTTTGTTTTTGTGACCTACCTGTGCTATAGATTTTTGGCATATTTTTTAGTCCACATGTGTCAATAAAATGACTAATCTGGGCAGCATGGTCATACTTTAATCAGGGTCATTAATTACTCTGAAAAACACTCCCATGATAAGGGTGACAAATAACAATTGCTTCATAGTTAGGCACAGAATGTGTGTGATAGCCACTTATGTAGGTAAAGAGTTTAACATGTAGCTGAGAATAATTGTAGTGTATGGTGTAATTGCAACGTAGTTAAGATGCATGGGTTTCTAGTATGAAAAGTACTTGATATATCAAGTGGCAATAATAGATGAATCAGTCACTAGCTTTCCAGTTTCATTTCTGATATTGTTTCAAGACCCAGAGTTCACAATGGTGTCACCACTCAGTACCTCAGGCACATCTTTGCAGTATGCTGATCTGCTTAAATACAAGTTCTATAAAATAATAAAACGTAAAGGCACACAGGGTTCATTGGTATTTTCAGCAATGTTGATACATTCAAAGTGGTTTGGGTGCTTGTGATAAAATAGGCATGTGAATCTAGGAGTAAAAATCTTTTTTTTCTTTTTTTTTTTTTTTGAAAGTATCTACCAAAGAGTGTGCCTTGTAAATGTAATTGCTTCATAGTTGCTTTTAACTTATGATAAAGTGCAGTCATGTGGGGTGGGGCAGAAATAGCCCATCTGCTTTCAAATTTCTTCAAGTATGTTGTATTTCTATACATAATGGCACAACATCTACCTGTAATTTTTATAGAAGATACTCATGAATGGTTTCCATCCTAGGTGGGTTCAAAATGTGAGCTCAATGCTTGCAGCTAGCAAAAATAAATAAATATTCATGCACAAAACCAATCATGTGCAAGTGTAAAGGAAAAACAATCCCGTTCTCCTTTGAGGCAGAGTACTCCCACTGGAAAAGCAGCGGGACCCTCCGTGTGCACAAGGCAGTAGGGTTAGAGCCTGGTGGTGTTGCTGGTGGGGAAGCCCTTCTGCCAGCTGTCTCTGCAGGCTGCCAGCATTGCTGCGAGGGCAGAGGGGTATGGCCCAACTTCTCCTGAGGCAGCTTTCTCCAGCTGAGCTTGACCTGAAGTCAAACACTGAAGTTTCCTCCTGGACGCTGGAGAGTTAGGTCCTGTGTAAATTAAGGCAGAGGTACAAAGCTTGGGGCAGGAGAGTGAATGTGTGAGGGAGCCCACCAATTTCCAGCTTTCCCTAAATTGTAAGTACCTAGGTAAATATCCCGTCCTATTTGTAGTCATGTGGAAGCACCCTCTAGCAACTCTTCACTGTTCTGGAGACGTTTTATAAACAAGCAATTGATACCTGTTTGGCTGCCGGCAGCTGTCTTTAGAGTGATACAAAAATAATCAATTTATGCCAGTTTGAATTTGAACATGCTGAATTTAGAGTGGAAGGGCTCTGAATAATCAAGCAAATTAGAACCAAGACTGATTAGAAAACAGATGAGCAGAGAGCATTTGGATCTGATTGCTCGAAGAGCAGAGATCAGATTGATAATATTGTGTTACAGAAAAAGAGGAGTTAGAATAATAACGGAATTGAAATCTTGCCAAACAAATCCATCTTCACAACTTCTGGCAGCATCTCTGGTAAGCAGGAACAGCTCAGGGCCCCGGGACCAGCAACACACGTGTGCAGAGAGGCAGGCTGAGAAGAGGAGGTGTGGAGGGGGCTCTGGCTGGCATCACAGCTGGGTGCACCAGCAGCCTTGTGCTGGAAGGAGGATGCGCACAGCATCAGGGGTAAGCTGCTGGTGCATTTGGGACAATGGCATGGAGCGCCCTGGGTTTTGACTTCTGTCTTTGCAGGTACAAAAGCAGTGATTTTAGTCCGCTTTTCTGAAGCTTATTCAGGCTGTTAGCTTTCTGGACAGTCCCACCACATTCCTGCTGGGCCTGCACTATATAAATCTTCAAGAGCCATTAGTGGAGCTGTGCACTAATTCAGTAGTTGCTGAAAGAAAAATGGAACGGGAATATTGTAACTCTCTGCTGTTCTAACTGGACACGAGCGAATACATTCCATTCCCTTGAAATCCTCATGAATTTCTTAATTTGTTTGGGTACAACAGTGCCTTTTAGTCTCCAAGCATCACAAGAGTTGACCTTTATATACCAAATAGGCACTTCAGTAATTTTTCCCCTTATTTTTCACAGCATGTTGTCGTTTGTTGTTGAAAGTCCTTTAAACTTATCTTACTTGGAAACTCAAGAGCTGCCTTCAATGCAAGAAATTACAAAAGTATTTAAGAGCATAGTTATTTTTAATTTACAGATGGAGTTGGAAGTGAGAGGTCAGTTCTTAATTAAGAATTCCTTAATATATATATTTTTTTTTTGTGGGAGTGGGGGGGCAGTTATATGTATTGATGAAATATAAGATAGGGAGTGGCCAACATACACTTTTGTTTCCTTTTAATTGAAATACTACAGTATACTTAGTTTCAAAGATGTATTAAGAGTTTTTTCTATGCCTCTTGTCTCTGTCTCAAGGAATTTGGACATTCAGTTGTAGCCCCCCAAATGGGAAATTGTAGTTTAAATGTCCTAAAAAGCTAAATATGGTGTGTAGTGCCACCACGGGAAGAGGTTCCCATTGCAGGGGCTGTAGGCTGCTGCTATACCAACTCTTTCTCTGAGGTTTATCTGTAAACCTTAGAAAAGTAGTGATAAATACATGTTTATGTACATTGTGAAGATGGGAAACATTGGGAAGCCCGTTAAGTTCACCCTCATCAGCCCTGGGTGCAGGCAGAAGGCTGTGTGGGGACCACCTCATCCTGCTGCTGCAGATCCAGTACACCGTACAGCACTGGGAGCCTGAAAGCTCGAGTTTCTCCTGAACCTCCTGAAAATTCATTTATTCTTAGAGCATGTGTTTCTGGCTTTCCTCCTTTGCAATTACTGTCCCAGGCAAATGTTGTTTAAGAGATTACAAAAAACGATTTTTGTCTTCTGTAATGTTTAGCTGTGTTTGCTTGTGTCCTGGGGGTGCTGCAGCAGTTGTCGTGGCTGTGTGTATGGGTCCTGTGGCTGTGAAACCGTAATGTTGTCAGGGCGGGTGCAGCACTGAAACTCCCATTCTTACTGGTGAGACTTCAGATTGGTGCCATCTTCTCTAGTTGTCTGTTTACTGGATGAACCCTGTGTTTTTTTTTAAAGGGCCTGATTTTTATAGGCTAATCATCCACATAGAAATTGCCTTTTTTTCTTTTTTTTTTTTTTTGAATAACCTTAGTATTGTAGAATTGTAATTTGAGTTTTATCTGCTGTTATGCTTGGAATAGAAACAAAGGCCATCTGCTTCTAGCTCTTTAGTAGATATCCATCATTTCACTGGCAATTTTGTTCGATATGCTCTTTGCTGATGTCTTTCATCTCACTAAAATTCTCTGAAAAGCACAAAATCAGTATGATTTCTTGCCTCAGAAACAGCAATGAAAAGCGCTGCATAATAAAGGAAAATAAATAAGTTTAAGGCAATTAAGCAAGATGGAAAAACAAAGAAAAACTGAATGATGTAGTCAAATTAATATGGTAACTTGAAAAAGTGTAACTGCAATTCAGAGCTGTATGGGGCTTAGGGTAAGATATTTGAAAGTCGGCATTCATTAGGTTGAAAGATTTGTGATTACTGTGACTGAAAACTGCAAAATAACAAGAGAGACCTCTTCCTACACTTACCTCCTCAGAGCTACTAAAGGCACTTCCTGCTCTGCATATGCTGCTATCAGGTCATAGCTATTCAAAGTGCCAGCACTTTCCCAGGTTGGTAATAGCACTTTGCTATTGGAAAGCATTTCTTTGCCCTCTATTTCAGCCATTCTGTTGGCATTGCTTTCTGTGGGCATTTTTTGAGGTGGCAGCAGTGGTGTTCACTTAGCTGTAGTTTAATGCACTTCAAAAAAGAAAGAAAGAAAAGGCAATAATCTGCTTCAGAGTTGTAATAATCCCTCCCATGTCTTCTCACCTCCAGTTCCTCCTGCAGGTTCCCATGGCTGGCCTCTTGTAAGCTTACCTGGGAATTCGGTGTGTGCACTCCTCAGCTGAGTACCGTAGGGCCTCACCTGCTGACAGCCCTGGGGAGAAAGAGAGGAGGTTCAACAAGATAACAAAAACCACCCCACTTCCATGACACTCACCACTCTGTCAGTGCCTCGCTGCCCAAAGCCTTGGGCCGTTTGTCTGTTCTCCCTGCTAACATTAGACCGGCTTGGAGACCTCTCTGCCACGCTGGGGTAAGCCCACGAGCCCCTCCAGCCTCGGCAGGAGGAGATCCCTGCACGACTGTGCCAATGCAGAGGCTCGCCTGCCAGCTTCCAATCTCTTTCTGCAGAATGAAGTAGCTCTGCAATTAATGGATTGGGATGCAAATCAATTTTCCTGTCCAGTGAGAAGTTTTGGTCTTTTTTTTTTCCTTCAGGCTCCCACATTTTCTGCTATCCTGAATTCCAGCAAAAGCTGGCATCTTTAATTGTGTCACGAATTGAAAAGAAAAATGAAGAATGTAGACAGGATCAGTTGGTTATTGTTAGCATTTTGCATCCCTAGGTCTCCAGCACCACTTCTAATGGAGCATTTCTAAACAAAATTAATTTCAGATGTCAAAAGAAAACTAATTTCAGAGCTCTGTTTGTTTGTTAAACAGGGTTGGAACTTTGTATTTGGCACACACATGGAAAAACAAGAGTAAGAGCAGACGTGAATGTGCTGTTCTGAAGTGATGGATTGTGCTCAGCTTGATGCACGCTTACACTGTTTGCATGTCTGCTAACAGCCCGCTCCTGAGCTCTGATATGAATGGAAGAGTGAGGACCAGGGCACAGCCGTGGGGTTGCTGATGAGGATGTGGCTGGGCCCAGGCGAGTGATGCATGTTGCCCAGGGCCAGCTGCTTGCCTGCTTCTAACAACACTTTCAGATCTCCTTTTTTTGCCTGGAGGGGAATTAAAATTCGACTTCTCCTCCTTCCTTTGTTAAAGAACAAATTGCTGCTGTCTCTGTCGAAATCTGTCTGGGGTCAGGCTGCCCTGGCAGGAGGAGAGGCTCAGCCTTGGGCCTCTCCCTCCCAGCTGCCTGTGAGTTGCAGGAAGCTGCGCCCCTCTCCAGCCTTCCCTTCTGAGCTGCCAAGCCACAGCTCCCTGCAGGACGGTGGAGGACGTTCAGCCACGCCAGGACTTAAAACAGCTCGGTGGCTTTTTTTCCCTCCCTGCACTGAGCATAGAACGAGTCACAGTGGTTATATTCAGTATCTGACACTGGGTGAACGAATGCCTCTGAGCCCAATTCTCTTCATCTGCGTTAAGTCATTCATATCGTGGAGGTTTACTTTTTTTTTTTTTTTTTAATAAATAAGACCTGGAAATAAAATGATATCAGGTTAGAGTGGCATGCATGTGACCTTGATCTGCATAGCTGGAAGTGACAAGGCACTGTTTTTTAAATGTTTTAATACTTGCATGTACTTTTATGCTGCAGTATTTTAATATAGCAGTAATTTAAGGCTAAACTTATTTCTGTGTTATGCCTTGTAGCAATAATTAAAGTTACAAAGTGGTTTCTCTTAAAATTCCATGTTTTCACACTCCAAAGTTTCACTGTTACTGTAGCTTTGGTTATTGCTCAAAAATAGGAAGCTGATATTCTTGTTTTTTTTTACTTAGTTTTATGAAAAATGACATAAAACAAGCCTTGGCTTATTTCAAATCATGACCATCGTAATAATTACACTTTGTATTACACTTTGTAAAATAAAATTGCAGACTTTGTATTCTCACCTCTGACAGAGAGCAGTTAATTTTAAGCCTCTAGATCTGACAGAGACATGTCCTGTCTGCGTCTGAAGGCAGTGCATGCTGGCAGAGCTCCTGAGAGCCATGGAGTGCCTCCTCCAGGATCTGCACTTGTTTGATGCTCCTAAGCAGTGCTACGGCTCCCCCGGTATTCCTCCATGGACTTATCCTGCTCTCTGGAATGGTTTGGGGTTGCTGCTGGCAAACCTTGCCTGGGTTGTATTGCTTTTTCCTGCAGTTCTGGTCTGTATATTTGCTGTTCTTAACCTTCCGTGAAAAGGCAGCTTCCCCAGTTAGGCACTTTGTGGTAGCGAGAAGCCTGGCAGAAGGATGAGAATTTCAAGGTCCTGCTGCATTTTCAGATTTACTTATATACCAATCTGGGGGGCTGACAGCTAGGGAGAATGATGTAATACTGCATATTCTGTGTTCTGAGAGTTGCTCCAGTGTTTATGAATAAACAAAGGGATTGTTTGTTTTGTTTTTAAAATCAGATGGAAAGGCTTTTTGAATAATTTCAGTGGTGGTCCAAAATTAATTGTAGCTGGTTCATCCTTCTTTTATTCTGGCTGCAGAGCAGATTTATCTTTTAAATGTTTCTGGCAGGCTTGTTCCACTTCTTGTTAAAAAGATCCATTGCATGAGTAGAGAAAGAAGAAATGCATATTCTTTCTTTTCCGTTCTCGTTCTTTTCCGTTCTCGTTCTTTTCTTCTTTTCTTGCAAATGGCATCTTTGAACTAGGCAGACAATAAAATTAAAATTCTAAGTGGTTGGTGTGAAGCTTGAAGTGTCCCTTGAACAGAAGACTAGAGATGGTCACATCCTTTATAGAAAAAGTTTTTCTTGTAGGCTGGCTTTTCTGCTTTCTCTGCTTAGGTTTCTGTGCAGCTATCTCATTGTATAATTGCTGCCAGTAAATGTGTTTTATTATTATTATTATTATTTTGGGGGTCTTACAGCCATTTCTACATGTTTTGTACTCTTCTTTACCATTTAAAACTCTTGCCTGTATTTCAATGCCTATATTTACAGGGAGGCTTAGTGTCCTTTCTTTCCCTTACCCCTTAATAGTAAATACTGGCTTAAAGTTTAGATTTAATTGCTTAAATCACTGGCATCATTTTGAGAATCTCTCCAGCATACATAAAGGTGATCAGAACTGCACTGCTTTATCTAATGCACGGCGAAAGCAGTCCCTGTGAGGTCTCTGGGATGGAGCTATCCCGGGAGTCCCTATAGCTCTCTACATATACACGCAAAAGCTCAATAGTGATAATGATGTGCATGTACTGCAGGGCTCTTCCAGCAATTATTTCTGGTAAAAGTATTCTCTGGCTCTTGTAGTGGCCCAAAATAACGTTTCATGGCATTTTTTTTTCTTCAGTCATTGCCTTTCTCCCTTGCTTGCTGCTCTGGGCTTCCCCTGAGCTGAAAAGCTACAGGTGCTCCTGCTGCATAGTGCGTGGGGAGGCTCATCGGCTGGGCACAGTACCAATTTGGCAGCAGCTTGAAGGCTGCTGTCTGTCTTTGTTCTCTCCACCATTAAATGACATCATCTGACTCACAAAATCAGCAAATGCTTCAGCATCAGGGTCTGCAGCTTTGCCAGCAACCATGTAGTGGGCTGGGGGAGTACCTGGGAGTACGGTCTGAAAGGCTGTTTTGTGTAGTCCACTACAACTGCTTTTCTGGCCCCTCCTCGCCACATCTCCAGCATGTGTAAGGTGTAACTGTGAACTGCCTCGGGACACTTCCCTGTGTTCGGTCGGTAGTTTTGCAACAGGTCTGAGAAGCAACTCATTCCTTTATGACACTAATTCTTGTCTACAGTCTCAGCTCTAGTTAATGCACATCTTTATTTTCTTGTTCAAGAATGATTATCCACTTTGCAATCAATTTTTCCATGCTTCGTAGTTTAAGATCATCTGTATGTTTCAATAAACAATTTGCTTTGACTTCCAGTTCATTAGTAAAGTTATTGTATCAGTCAATGTGACAGTGGACACTGCTGTTATATGTTCTTCCCACTTAGAGTTCATATCCATTTTTTCCTTTTTAACTAAAAATCTCCAAATGCTTTGTCTACAACATTCATATATTGATCAGGTATCATTTTCACCTTCAAATTTTGTGTTCACAGGCAGCTGCTTAAATTCTAGTCAAATCAAGAGCATCTTTCTCTTCCCTCACTCCCCTCTGCCCCATCTAGCAAATTATTTGGCAAAGAATACAATTCAGAGGGAAGAAATAACTTGGACTGTTGCCACAGTTGCTTCTTTTTGAACTTCTGTCACTCAGGATTGAGTGGAATACTTCCACAAATATCTACCAATACTAATTTATTTTTACAAAAATGTTCAGCTTTTTGCCAAATACTCACAAGAGGGGCTCTGGCTGGAACACAGGTTCACAGAAGAGGCGTTAGAGGTGGAAGTATCCATGGAAACCAACTTTACTGCAGATGTTCAGATATTCTTCAGTCATCCCAACCAGAGGGAGAAAACAGGACTGTAACCTAACCTATATTTGCAGATTCGCAGCTAAGCAGCATGGCTTAGAGACTAGACTAAACTCTTCCGAAAGGTTTTGTTGTCTTATCTTCAGCTGCATTTCCTCCTGTTTTGCGCTTTTGTGGAAGCAGCTGTATTAAAACCTTTCATTAACCTCCAGCTTCTTTCCTGCTCTTGAATCTGTGTTAATCCATAGCGATGACTGCAGCCAAACCCTGCTTGCCTGATTCAGTCGAGCAGTTCCACTTACTTCACAGCGATGTGCAATTAGGAGTGTCATAGATGGCATTAGATGGACAAATACAATAGAAAGAAGCAGGATTCAACTACTTGGCACACTTCTCATAACCCAGCCTTCAAGTTACTCTTCCTGTATTTAAATATAAGATACAGATCTTTCAGTGTTGTGGTGTTTGTCTTTGCTTTTCCTTTTCTAGTTTTATGCTGATACTTAGTGTCTAAGCCGGTTTGTCAAGGTCTAGCAGCTTACCAGGTGCCTCTTAAAGCATGCTCTCTTGCAGCGAGCTTGCCAGCATACAGACAATTTCAAGCTCCAATTTGCAAATCCAAGTCTGCTGTCCTACTTGAAGCTCTGGCCCTGAGTACCAGATCTCACTGGCTTTTATTTCCTGGCATTTTAAAGTTTTTAGGAGGAGATGATTCTTTGAATCTGATCAAAAACTGAACTCTTAATCTAACTTGTGGTTATTGGTTTTGTTGCTCTGCGAAATGAACCTACCTTGGAGTAGGTGGAGACTTCACAAGTTGATTAAAAGCTGGGGAAGAGAAAGGTGAGCTATCAGCAGAACATTTCGCCTGCTGGCCATCCCTCATCCCATTCTCTGCTTTATTCCCTGGCTCCGTAGCCAAAACAACTATTTATGAAGTTATTATTTTAAATAAGATTTAACCATGCAACTTGTAACTATAGATACAGGAGCAGAAGATGTTTTCTGTATTGAGGAATGTCAAGGGATCTAATGGCTCTTTAAACTTCAGTTTGTAAAGACATCAAACACATTAAAGGCTTCTCAGCTGATTCACGTTTGTTTTTTTTTTTCCACAATTCCTGTCTTGCTTGCATCGCTCCCTGGTTCAGTTCTGTGCACAAGTCGTAAGATGTGTGTTTGTTACACAGTGTTGGTTACAGGCTGAGCAAAGAGTTCAGCAGTGGACTCCCATGGTGTCACCAGCGAGCAGCTTCAGACTTCCTTAATTGCTTGTGGGTCGCGTCCCAGGAGCCACGTTGGGCTCGGTTGCTTCCAGCCACGCGCTCCTCCAGAATGCACCAGCAACGTTCTTGCCAATTACAGTTGTTCCCTGTAAATGGGGCTGTGGAAATTAATGGGGTTTGCCTGACGATAGGTCAAGGAGCTTTTTAACATTGTTCCTTCAGTTTAACCTACTGGCTAGATAATGCTGGCAATCAATTCTGTAGAGAGGAATTCAGCACTGTGTTTTATTCTATGGCAATTGGATCACGCACTCTGCAATAACAAATAAAGCTTCATGACTTCATAGTTATTTACTGAATGAATCTTCGTTGTGCCAAAAGCATTTTTATAATGATACGGTACAAGTCTTAACTCAGTATTCACAATTGAATCCTTTGCTTCGTGTTTAAAAACAAAACAAATTGTTACAAGTTTGTCATGGGTTAGTATTTACCATGCAGGCTCTTTTGTCTTGGTTAGTGTTCGGCTAAACATACAAAGCACAAACTGGTCTGCTTGGGTTCCAGAACAAAAAATCTAGATCCTGATAACATCAGTTAATATTATTTTTGGGGGTTTAATTTAAAGTTCTTAAAACATAACCTCAGGCTCTTTATGTCAGAACTGAACCTTTTTTTTTTTTTTTTTTCTGTCAAAGAAGTCTATCTCCCCCTCAAAATTATTTTCATTTCACTTTTGAAGCAGAATTAGTTTGGAGATGATCAATTATGACTTTTTAATATTACTCTGAGACTACTGTAATCTCATAATTGTCTTCCCTGGTGATGTCCCTGTAGGCCCCGATCATTCAGCTGGTGAATCACAGAATCACAGAATCTCTAGGTTGGAAGAGACCTCAAGATCATCGAGTCCAACCTCTGACCTAACACTAACAGTCCCCACTAAACCATATCCCTAAGTTCTACATCTAAACGTCTTTTGAAGACTTCCAGGGATGGTGACTCAACCACCTCCCTGGGCAGCCTGTTCCAATGTCTAACAACCCTTTCAGTAAAGAAATTCTTCCTAACATCTAACCTAAAACTCCCCTGGCGCAACTTTAGCCCATTCCCCCTCGTCCTGTCACCAGGCACATGGGAGAACAGGCCAACCCCCATCTCGCTAGAGCCTCCTTTAATATACTTATACAGAGTGATAAGGTCACCCCTGAGCCTCCTTTTCTCTAGGCTGAACAAGCCCAGCTCCTTCAGCCGCTCCTCATAGGACTTGCTCATTTTGAATGATGTGCTCATTTTGAC